TGGGTGAGGGGGGCGGCTGCCCCGCGGCCGTTGGCGCTGAGGGGGCGGCTGCGGGCGCCGCGTCCGCGGGCGCTTCCCTCGGGCTCCAGGAGGCCACAGGGACCCGGGTGACCTTCCTCCGTGGCCGGGCTACGTGAGTGCCCCCTCCGGAGCTTCACCCTGCTTTTAAGGGTTTTGGGGGCAATTCCCTTGTGTGTTAGTTATCTCCGGGGTAAACGTCTGCAAAGTGTTCTCGTCCCTGTGTTTTGACCCTGCTTGTCATCAAGCTATTCGTGTAGGTTCTCCAAAGAGTGCCTCTGGATGGCCCCCGAGGTCATGCAAATGATGGGAAGTACTTTGGTTTTCTGTGGCGTGTGAATGTTGATGCTTTTGTGGGGAGATATATATATATATATATATATGCACCCTTGCAAACTTGTGCACAGGACCTTTGCATCCTTCTGGAAGCGCAAAAACATCCCCCCCTTTACACTTCATACCCTCTTATTCTGACATCTGTTTTGCTCTTGGTGCTTTGCTTTAGAGAAGATAGACAAGTGCTAAAGCACGTAAGTATTTCAGCTATAGCTAAAAGTGAAGTACATCAATTCGTGATCCCTGATTATACTACCTTTCCCCTCCTCTTTTATCCAAAATATTGATCTTAAAGGGGGAGATCAACACAACAAGCTTTTTTCAAGCTTTTTTTTTGGACTTCAGCTTTCATTACCTTGACTGCTGAGAATTTGTTGGTCCTCAAGAGAACCTGTGGTTGAAAATGTTACTTTAATGTCTTTTTTTTTCTTTTTTTCTTTCTTTTTTTGGGGAGGGTGGGGAGGTATGGTGGTGGTTTTGTTTTAGAATGTCATTGTTTTTACTTTCTGTGTTTCAATTATTCTTTCTACAGTATTGTGGAAAAGCATTAAACTTCTGAAACAAAATCATGTGTCTCTTGATGTAGTTGCTATTAGATAAATGAAATTGAAAAAAATTTCAAAGGACACCTATCTGAAGGTCATTTCCTAAGGAAAGAAATCCTTTGGAATTCTGTCCATGCTCCGTGCTGCTGCTGGGGTTACTGAAGTGCATGGCTCTCTTGTTGATACTTTCTCCTGCATTTCCAAATACTTTTATGGTGTGTGCAACCCTGTTGTAAAGTGAGAGGTGCAAAAGTTTGTTCAGCAGCCTCTAAATTGCTGAAGAAATAAAAAGAATGCAAAGCATTCTTCATGAGCAGGGTCCCTTGGTTGACTTTCATGTTCAATAATAATGCCAAGATGATTGCATTCTGCAGGCACCAAGTTTAGTAATTATATTTAAGTGGAAGTTTTTTCGCTTGCGTGGATTAAACACAGCACCTCGATATCCTGTATCTCCTGATAGATTGTGAGTTGCTTAATACTACTCTTACTAACCTTTGTCAGCTTTTTTAGAAGGCCTGTTTTACAGTGTAGTAAACGCTGTTGTGCATGATACAAATATTTTAGCTCTGCTACTACCATAATAATCAAAAATAATTTAGTCACTGGGTTCTTAAGCCAAAATAAACGATCAAAAAAGTCTTTAAACTTGCAACTTTATCATTTGATGTTAGAAGATCTAATCTTAGCTATGATAATTTAGGGAGGAAAGACCTATGTGTGAATTAAGGAGAATAAGATATATAGGGATGCAGTGCTCATTTTTATTTTTCCTTATTATCATTGCATTTACTTTGTCTCTTAAAACTTATTTTTAACTATATATCTGGTATATACAAAGGGGGAGAGTATGTAGTTTGAAACTATATAATTCAGATTGGTTTTGTTTTATATCTTACTGTGAGTGAAGGTCACCTCTTGCAGTTACCAGAGCATGAAAGAATTCTTATCTAAGCCTCATGTAGGAGCCAAGTCCTGGATTAAAATGCCTGAACATGAATGCATGGAACCTCTGTGAGAAGAGAAAGAACTTGCATATCATAGGTACATTGTCAGCTCAAGAGCTAAGCATTCCCTTTCCTCCAAAAGCAGCCCCAGATAATTGATAGTACCAATCCTTATCTATGATGCAAGTACCATACTTAATACTTACATAAATAACTACCATAACTGGTAGTTAATAAAATATTTAAGAACCATCCACTGGAAAAAAACGAACAAACAAACAAAAAACGCTGAGCTCTAGATTTGAGAATTTAGTTGTTTAACTTAATCACTTATACTGTAATTTTACTTAGTGTAAATCCAAGTGGCCTAGTTGGCCTCTCGTTTTGTTTCTAAGTGGCCTCATTTTTGTGATTATCTAATGCTAGTATGACGCAGCTGTGCTTGGGGGGTGAATACTACAGTGAAAATGCACTCAAATCCAGCAGTGATTTTCCCATAAGTATCAGTGGCAGGGAGG